AAAATTTAATGATATATTTACATTGAATAGCATTTAGTATTGCAAGTTTTGCTTGAAATTTTTTTGATTCAGAGGTACCATCATCCTTTGGATAATGTAGAATAGCTTTACATGCCACCTCAACTGTTTTTCTAAGTATTTTTTTAACAACCCTTTTATTTGCACCTCTTACATCTGTATCCTTTCTGTGACTTAATTTTACATCATCTATATTCCTGGGATCAATTTTTGCCAATTTCACTATAGGATTAAGTTCGAAATTGTCAGATGACACATATTTAGATAAGTTTTTTATTAAAACTAATTCACTATTCTGCATTGTTGTTTCCAAATTCTAAACAAAATATTTAGATATATATATATAAATATTTTTCAATGCATTTATAAAAAAATAAAAAAATCAATATCATTTACTTTATACCTCAAATTTTTCGTATATTTTAGCAAAATATTTCTCCATGTTATTGTCTTGTTGTTTCATTGTATGATAACTGGAAAGAATCACATTGAATTGTAAATCTGCACAAGCTCCTTCCAAATTTTTAACATGATCATCATAGCACTTTTTAATGTGATCAGCATTTAAAAATTTTTTAAATCCTCCATAACTTGAAATATGTTTAATAAAATGTTTAATATTTTTCAAAACAGCTTCAAGCCTATTAAATGCTTTAAAATAACTTTCTTTACGGAAATTTTCTTCATTTGCTTCTTTTTCTCTTTCCATTTGTTTAATGGCCACATGTGCCAATTCAACTCTATGAATTAATGCTATAGAAATTGTCTTATTTTCTTTAATAGTATCATAAAGTCTAATAATTGTTTCACATAAATCACAGACTGTTTTAAGTATTGGTACATAATTTGTAAAAGCATCTCCTGTGGACAGTACAAGCAAGGAAACATTTTTTATTGTGTCCATTGTTGTAATATTATCATTTTTATCAATACATCTTTTTTTTGTCTTTCCATCATTTATCTTAGGTGAAATATTATCTTTATAATCAATAGGTCTTTTTTTATTATTTGGCATTTTGAGAACTAAATTTTTATTCATGTGTTCTAAAAAAAAGTTTTTTAAGAATGGTAATTGTAAGAAAAAAATTTTTTTTTAAGAGCTGCTGTATTTAAAGAAATCTAGAATGATCATGTAATATCATCATAGCAAATAATGACAAGTCTTGCGGAGAAAAACTCCTTAAAGAACATCAAAAAAAATAAAAATAGCATCCTGATTAGAAAAATTAATTTACCAATTTTATTTAATTTATTTATTGTTAAAAAAAATTTTATATTAACGAATATTCGATATGAATATTCGGTTACACGTATTAAATATTAATATGAATATTCGAACATTCGAATATTCAATGATAGTAATATATAGTAATGCGCTGCGCAACATAGCAGAATATGGGAAGAATTATATCTAAAATTGGTTAAGTACCGAATATTTTTCTATTTCAATGGAAATCAATTCTAGAATAATTTACTTCATTTAATTGGCCTTTGACGATCTTTTCTCAAAAAAAAAAATAAAAAAAATCACGACATTCTTGTAAGCCCAAAAAAGGTACACATCATAATCGTACCATATTTTTATAACATCAACAAGCTAGTCTAAATACACAGTTTAATAATCCACAAAAGTTTGCATATTAGTTTTTTTTTTAATAAGAGACATGTTTTGGCTTGAATTTTCAGTTATTTATTATTTTTTTTTATTTTTTTCACGTGTAATTATAGAAATTATTCAAATTCCTACGACTATGATGTCAAATACAAGACAACTAGCCAAAACTTTACCATGTTTGTTTAAAGACATAGTTGATAAATATCCAAAGAGTCAATTACGACCATGTAAAACTGACTCACAAACATGGAAGCATGCCTCAGCACCTGCTGCAGTTGAAAGAGTAAATAAATTAGCCAAGTATTTCCCTGAATTATCTTTATTAAATAATTGTTTAGGAATTATTCATTATGTATAAATCATTTTAATCAAGTTGTTGCTACTGACAATTTTTATCAGAATCTTTTAAATTCAGTTCTAAAGTTCAGACATATGTTTAATTCAAAAAAACAAAAGGTTTCGACAAGATATACTGGAAACAGGTTCTAGTAATAGTAGTATTGTTAAAAAATAGGAGCTAATCAAAAAGACAGTACACTGAAAGACAGTATAATTAATAACAGTTAACTTATGAACAAGCAACATATGGATCTTTGAGTAATATAATTAGAAATGT